TAACTTGACGACACTGATTCAGCACCGTAAAGTGCTTCGTATGTGTTATTAGAAATTCATATTTTACTGTTGCAATTTATGTATGGTGCGCCGGTCCCTGCTACAACGGGAATTGAGGCAGATCCAGTTGCCCCTCTTCCCCCCCCCCCCCCCCACCCTAATAGTAACATTGGTTGCATAAACAAATGGAGGCTTGTTGCAAGGCAGTAGTAGTTTCTGTGTGTGTGTTGTTGTTTTTGTGTGTGAACTTGCTGATTGAAGAGGTTATGTGGTGATAAACAATGCCCAGCTATTTTAACTTTTCTGATTACATAAAGACACTCTTTAGTGCTGAGTTGACTCAAGAAACCTTACAAGTTCGAACCAAAGAACCGATTTTTAATACGATTTTATTTTATTTTTATAGACAATTTGATCAAAGAATTGATAAGTATACAGCCATGAGGTACTAAAGAAAACTTTATGGGCTTACAGTCTATAGTGCAGTGTTCTGCCGTGATATATCAGGTCTTTGGCAAGAATGATTCCACCTTTGCTTCTAACCCTACTTGTGTATTGTGTAACCTTTAATAACTACATGAAATTTGTTATAAATAATAAAGTTTGTTTCTTATAAAACATACATAAATCATTGTGGACCATTCGTTAAATAGAAGTGTAGCAAACATACAATAACTCCCAAAAAATCACCAAAAATAACAAAAAGAAGACTACTATTTTCGAAGCGGTAAATAGGATGCTACAAGAAGCGATATTTTTTTTCCTATTAGTGAGATGTGGGTGGAGTCACGAAATCCCCCTCAATCTAGTATACAGGGGGCGTCACAACCATGAAAAATTTAGAAAACACAGTGCAATTTAGAATTTTGATGGTACGTTTTTTTTTTTCGCACTAAGAATCTTTTTTTTATTAAAAACTATTGTTCTGCAATTTTTAGCTGATTTAGGCAGTGTAGTAGAGACATCTTCCTGATTTAACTGGTTGCAAATTTGACGAGTTTTTTTTTTCTGTAAAAAAAATTTTTTTTTTTATAACAACAATAATTCTAAGTACCATTTCTTTATTATAATGAGATGAATTCTAAACTACAAACACAATAAGATTGCATAATAAAGACTTCTTGAGCTAGTGTTTTAACATTTTATTTAAGTATGAAATCGAATTTGTTTATTTAAGCAAAATTAACAAATTAAAAATAAATTCTAGGACAACAACATTAACATATTTAAAACAACCTCAAACTGTACAAGTAATATCGAATATGCCCAAATGTACTCATTTTAAATAACGAGTATAAAAATATAAAAAAAAATAATTGCGAAATTAAAGCAAAAACTGATGAGAATTTGGCAGTCTTACAGATATTAATTACCCAAATGAAATATTTTGGAGTATAAAATAATTTTAAAAAAAAAAACATTACGTTGAAGTTGTCTTTCTATAAAAGGCACAATTTAAGTATTTTGATACAACAGTTGGCAAAGTTTCATTGATAAAAGAATAAAAATATGCTTGGAACAAATAAAAAGAATATAGAGGACGAAAAGAGGGTTGTTCTAACATTACAAGAATTGTAGTTGTAACCAAGGAATCATTTGAAAGAAATGGTTGAGGGTATACCCTTTACGAGTATCAGACAGGAAAAATATAAATTTTGATAATTATGGCAAGATAGATTTTCTTTTAATGCAGCACTTTTGAACCAGTTTTATGGACGAACGACATTTCTAGAGACTTGGGCCAGGGCAATAGACCGTGCTATAAAGGATCTGGGTTCGAATACCTAGAATGCAATAATACTATACACACTATTAACATGCATGCGTCATATGTTGAAAGGACTATTTAGCAAGAGTAATTTTAGATGGCCAAACCAAGATATCAAATGCTACAGAAGTTGTATTTGGTATTGCACGTAAGCAGTAAACACACGTATATTCACATAACACATAACAATAAAGTAATATAGTTTGTAAAACTGGTCATACGGGACTAAATATAATTACGTAGATATTAAAAATCTTTACTTTGGTAAGTTTTGTATATATAAAATAAATACAGATTTATCTTTCTTTGTACGAAGATGACAAGTTTAAAACATACAGTACTCAAAATAAGTGTTAAACAATATCAACAAATTAGAGTATGAAAACAAGAATTTTAACTCATGTTAAGCAGTTTGTAGCCTACAGGACATTCTGTTACCGACATATCTCTTTACTTTTAATACTTGGGTCTTTGGAACATGAGGCTTATATTTAAAATTGCTACCGGAGAACTAGACTATTCGTGAATCTAATATATAAAGCTCAATTTTGTATGTAAAGATAAGTTTGTTTGTTTGTCGTTGACATACTTCCATGGATTTAAGTGTTAGGATATTATCGTGCTCATAGTCTAAATTTATGAGTTAAAAAATTACTATTGAAATTGTTGGGAAATAATTTTCATTTTTTAAACTGTTAGTAATAATTGTCGGCATGTTCATTAAACATAATTTTAAAAAAATAACAAAAATTATAATTATGCATTAAAATTATTTATATTTAGTCCTTTAGCACTTACTTCCCTTTGATAAATTAGGAAAACACAATTACTTCCCTTAATAAAACATTGCATTAGTGGAAAAGAATTTACTTTTTATTACTTTGTTTTGGTGTTGGGAAAAAAATAATTACATAATTAGCGGGGATTGATCAAGTGCAAATGTTGTAGGTATTTTACGAATAAGCTTGGAGTATTATAATTGTTCATTTGGTTTGGTTTGGCACCTACATTCGTTTAAGTGAGTGCAAAAGACTATGAATAAGTTGGGGTACTGTAGTCGATTATTAAGCTGAAACAGGCGATTCTGCCCCGGGCTAGACTCTGAGCACTTTGCGTTTATGTTCGCGTTAGTGTTTTCTTTGTGTTTAGGTTGGGTTTGCGTCAGTGGTTGCGTTTTGATTTGGTTCGTTTTTGTTCTTTCTTTTTTTCGTTTTCGTTTGTGTTTTTTTCTTTGGGTTTGTGTTTGTATTTGTGTTTGTGGTTGGTTTTGCGTTTGGATTTGGTTTTTTTTTCGTTTGCTTTTTCGTTTGTGTTTTTTTCTTTGGGTTTGTGTTTGTGGTTGGTTTTGCGTTTGGATTTGGTTAGTTTTCGTTTGCTTTTTCGTTTGTTTTTTTCTTTGTGTTCGTATTGGTGTTTGTGATTGTGGTTGGGTTTGTTGTTAGGTTTTTGTTTTCGTTTGCTTTTTTGTTTGTTTTTTTCTTTGTGTTTGTATTGGTGTTTGTGATTGTGGTTGGGTTTGTTGTTAAGTTTTTGTTTTCGTTTGTATTTGTAATTGTGTTAGCGTTATGTTTGCGTTTTGTTGTTTTGGTTGGATGTGGTTTGGATGGGCAATGCCGGGTTTATGATGATTACTAAACACACAGGTAACGGTCTTTAACAAAAAGGTTTTTCACAGAAGCCAGAGCAGGGCCTGGCCGGGACGGCTAGTATATAAATAAAATACAAATCACAATAATTTTTATGTGATTTTTGAGGGTTTTGATATTGTGGTTTTAACAAAAAAAAAAAGCTTTACAATAGCTAATAAAGCACCAGTGGTTTGCAGAGGCGTAGCGACCCTTCCCTGCGCCCGGAGACAAACTTTCAATTTGGCGCCCCCCTCGGGAGCAAATTTTGAATTTGCACTCCCCCTCAAATTTCCGATTTGCACCCCCCCCCCCCCCCACCTCCACTCAAACTGCAAAAATGCAGCTAAAATGACATTTTAATTTGTTTTTACAACCGATTAAGGCGCCCCTTAAGATCGGCGCCCGGGGACATATGTACCCCCCTGCCCCCCCCCCCCCCCCCCCATCGCTACGCCTCTGGTGGTTTGTTTTCCTTACGGTATCTCTTAAGCCCCCCCCCCCCCCCTATTTTTCTCCAGAAAGATACAGGTTACATAGAAAATATACATTTTTATCCTTGTCCGTCCTTCTAATTCTCAAAAACCCTTCGGAGAAAAAGTTTGAAAGAAATACTCCAATGCACTATATCAAATGTCCTGTCTAAGGACTTACTTTAATCCTACATTTCGGCCATGTGAGAGGATAAAACATGGTTGGTTATGATGGTATTCAACAAAATATGTACAAGTCAAATGAATGTTGAATACTAGACGGAAATACTTCCTGCCTTTTAAAAACGTTTGGATTAAAGCGCCATTTGTAAGCCATGAGATGAATCACTCATACAATCGCATGTTCAAGTAAAACATATTTTTCTAGTAGTTAAGATTCAGTATTTTATTTCCCGAAATTAGTTGATCAACCGAATTGTGTGTCAGAAATAAAATGTATTATATTTTAGGGAGCAACGCTTTATTTAAACATTTTGCGCGCAGAAAGCGACGACAGCTGATGACGGGAGAGCGTTTTGAAGTTTTTTTTTCATGGGGAACAACTCATTTTTGTGGCCTCTGTTTTGTAAATAAAATGGCTTGTCATTTTAACACAATTTAAAGACGGTCAGGTATTTTTTCCAATGATTGTCTGAATGCTTGCGAGAGATAACTAATTCACAGTGTAAACCCTATTCAGTTTTATTTATATATACTTTTTGTTACCACCGCGTGACGCGATCTGATGCGATCTGACGAAATAACTTTTAATCGCTGGCTGTTTTTAAAAGATGGGTCAACATTTATCACAATTCGGCTACTGTTTATGTTTTTAAAGTTAAAAAACCACTCATTTTATTGTCATAAGCGATCGCTGGTCCAGACTATGTTATTTTTAGCGAGCGTCGGCTTTATATAAACAATGTCTGGGTAGGAGGTGATGACATGTGGTATCTATAAGTACGTGTGTGCATGTGTTAGATATTTTGAAAAAAAAATGTGAAGCTTTTGATGCAAAAATTAAAACTTTTTATAGCGTTTTTATAGCGAAAACTAACAATTAAGCAGTACATTTGGGGGCCCCTCAAAATCAGGGGCACTGACTGCAGCCCTTTTAGCCCCCCCCCCCTCTCCGTCTTAATACGCTACTGCGTACCTGTTGACAGTATTTAGTTTATCAAATAAGTTAAAAATCAATTAGAAGAAAAATATACTTAAATTGTCTTAAACTAACAGTTGTCTCTTAACAGAAGCAATTGTTAAAATTGTTATGTGAAAATAAATAAATGTGCATCATGTAAGTATTTAGCAGATGAATCATTTTTAAAATCAATATTGCGAAAACAGCCAATATAAAATTAAAAAAACAACCTGTAATATTACAGGTAAGCGTTATAAAAGCGCTGCCTACTTTGGAAGATTGTCGAATAACTTGCTCAATTGGTCCTTCTGTATACTCTCTTCCGTGCTTGCGTTGTCAAATAAAACAATTCGATTGTTACATTTCCTGATCAGTTCTATAAGTTTTCCCTCACAAAAACTAAGATATTTTTCCAGTACCCACGGTTTCTTATCACCCTGCCTGAATACAATTACACAAGAGTCGGTAAACAAATTTGGACCAAAATGTGACTCGTAGAACTCTACAGTATTATCGTCGTTCAACATTTTTTGTCCTATCCGGAAAACGTAGAGAAAAACATGTCTGTCGGCTTTATTACGCCGAATATATTCAAGTCTTTTCTCGACGGTTTCTATCATGTCATCTGTGACTTTCTTACTTGTACAGCACAGCCCTGGGCCGTCGACCACAACATACTGCTGGCCCTGGAAGTTTTGAATGGAGGATGGTGTGAGCTCAGTAGTCACAGCATCTGAACTCGGGGATGCTTTGAATGATTCACTCATAAGGATGCTGTTCGCTGTCGAGCTTTTTCCACTTCCGCTTTCTCCAATGACATGAAGATGTAACCTTTACAAAAATATAAAAAGATATATATATATATATATATATATATATATATATATATATATATATATATATATATATATATATATATTAATATATACGTATATATATATATACATACATATATATATGTATATATATATATATGTATGTATACATATATCTATATTAATATGTATATGTATATATATGTATATGTATATATATGTATATGTATACATACATATATGTATACATATATATATGTATGTATATATATGTATATGTATGTATATGTATGTATATATATGTATGTATATATATGTATATGTATGTATATATATATATATATATATATATATATATATATATATATATATATATATATATATATATATATATATATATATATATATACTAGCGTACCCGCCCCCCTCGCGTTGCCGCGGGGATAGAAGAAAGTCTGACGAAATATATTAGAACGATATCACCAATGCATTACCAATCATATGTTCTTAGACGCGTGTCCTTCTTTTCTAAAACTGTGTTATTTAAATGTTAACCATGCCTGCGCTTGGATAATAATTATCGGGACACGGGTTTTCCTACACTACCATATGAAAACCTTCAGTGTATATTAATCACTCACCGAGATAATGAGGTAGAACACACTTCGGTGACCACCCATGTGCCAAGGACGTAGAGGGGCGCTCTCAGGAGCCCCCCACCCCCTGATTACACTACCGCATAGGCGCAGCGTACGCCCCCTGGCTCCTTAAAACTAACTGATGCTATATGCTATCGTTACTAATGGTCTATTATTAGATGCTCGATCTCAATTTCTGACTGGATCGTCTAATAATAGATGCTTATTGCATCATTCGCAAAGTGACGAAACTCTACAGTAGGCTCCTCATATTCAAAAAGTTATTTTTTCATCTTTCGCAAGGCGACGAAACTGTACAGGATTTCCTCGCATTACAAAGTTATTTTTTAGAAGCCTGTTGTTGTTTTACCGCTGAATATAGTAGTACCTCTTACTCGCTATGCAGGACGCTCAATTAACGGATGCCAAGTGCCAACATAGTCGCTCTAAAACTCTGGGCGCCAAACCGTGTATTGACGAAAATTGTACCCTACATGGCGCCGCCCATAAGAAACTTAAGTTTTCTTTTTCGCATAAATATTCTCGGGAGTATTCTCATCTACTCCTTAAAGTTTCATGGCACTCGGATGAACCGCATCCGAGTTTTATTTTTTATATACCGTGTATAGAGAAAAAAAATCGCTCTCCCCTGGCGCGCCGCCCTTGCAATATTAAAAAAAATTTTTTTTTGCAGAACCCTACCATTGAGATCATCTAATTATCTCCCCAAAGTTTCATGGTACACGGATGAACGGTGTGAAACCGAAATGGACTTAAATTTTTAGAAACCGTATATAGAGAAAAATAACACCCTCCCGTGGCGCCGCCCTTGCGAAATTAAAAAAAGGAGTTTTTTACAGAAATAATCCATGGTGTGTTCTAATCAACTCCCCAAAGTTTGATGGCGATCGGATGAACGCCGTAAAACCGCACTCGATGTTTAATTTTATATACCATATATAGAGAAAATTGCATCTTCCTGTGGCGCCGCCCTTGTGAAAATAAAAATTATTTATTTACAGAACCCTTCCCTAGAGTGTTATAATTAACTCCCCAAAGTCTCATGGCTATCGGATGAACAGTGTGAAATCAAAATAGACTTTTATTTTTATATACCGTATATAGAGAAAAACAAATCGCGCCCTCCCGGGGCGCCACCCCTGCGAATTTGAAATTTTTTTTTTCACAGAAACCTCTTCAGGAATATTCTCAACAACTTCCCAAAGTTTCACGGCGATGTGATAAGAGGTGTGGTAATGCATAAAAGACACATAAACAGACACACACACAGACACACATACATTGCTTTTTATATATATTGATATATATATATATATATATATATATATATATATATATATATATATATATATATATAATATGTACATATATATATACATAATATTATACATATGTATATATATATATATATATATATATATATATATATATATATATATATATATATATATATATATATATATATATATATGTATATATATATATATACATATGTGTGTGTATGTATGTGTGTATATGTGAGTGTGTGTGTATACTTATATACTTAAAATGAGAAAATACATTGTAACTTTCTCCCCAAAACAAAATCCTGCCTACGCCACAGATTGGAAACAATTAACTAAAACAACTTGGAGGAAAGAACTAACCTCTTGTGTTTAGTAGTGCTTGCGCCTGTGTTATCTGTGAATGGACAAACGACAATAAATACATCAACATAATAAAAACTAAATAAATAATTAAATAAAAAAATAATCAAACTTTCTTGTAGCACATTAATTGCAAGGATGGCACTTTCAATGCAATAGAGCTATAGAATTAGTAGGTAGAGTATGTGGTAAAACTTATCGTTATTTAAGAAAACGCAAGTATGATCCAATACATACATATGACATTTCGTTCACCTAAAAAGGTAGACCTACTCAAGTTATCATTTTTTAGAATGAATTATAGTTTAATTTCCTGTAAGGAACGGAGTGGTCGGATGGTAGAGCTAACAACTGCCAGCCCAAACGGATCCTGGTCTCTAATCTACAGGATGTCCCTGAGTCCACTCAGCTTTAATGGGTACCTGACTCACATTAGGGAGTTGAGGTTCGCCAAATTCATTGAAACAGATGAGCTATCTGGTCCAAGAGTCTTGGGCACTTCCGGAAAATAGATCATGTCAAATTCTAGAAATCGCTAAAAAGTTGATCGAAACCTTTGAGTAGTATTTCATATTAATATTTGTCTTCTTAGCTGAAACTGTATTCGAGTTATCGTGCTCACAGTATCAACAACAGCATACTCAAATACACACACATAGACACACACACACACACACACACACACACACACACACATACAGAAAAGATTGCAGAAATTGATGTATTCGACTCAGGGAGGTATAAAACGTCGAGTTTTGTGAACATCTCGATTTCGATTTTTGCAAGATGACTTTATTTCCCTCCCCCTATATTAATTTATATACGTGAAAGTAAAAAAAAAAGGCAACTTACAGTCAGTATCTGCTTGTGGTGGGTATCTGAAATTAAATCAACATTACATTCTGCTGGTACTGATTTGTCCACGGGAGGTGGCAAAGTATTTATGAGGCGTACATGCAAAACTATGTTCCTATAAAACAAATGCTTTTGCTTGCAAAAAGAAAATTAAGTGCAATTCAAAATGACATTTCTAGCCTCCTCGAAAGTAATGACGCCTCTGATTCATTTTTTAGCAACGTTAACATGTTGTTTATTTTGTATTTCTTCTTTAATTTTTATTTTACTAAGTGTTGCTCAAGATTTCTCCAGTCTGAGAAGTTCTTATCATTTTTTACAATGCCTAGGCATTTTATGTAATGTCTAGGAAAGTAAGAAAACGCAGATATTTAATACCTTGCTTCGCAACGACAGGGATTGTATACATTACCGAGGTATTCTATAGAATCCCAGGTTTCATACATTGCCGGTAATATAGCCATTAATAACAGCCACCTAAATTAGAACACTCTAATTAACACACCACACTAGTACAGAGCACACCCAGTAAACAACACATATGACCTAATTAATTAGTCTAAATGTTACTCACCCTTTAAGGAGATGTTCTTTCTCGTGTAACCCTACATCGCTGGTACACCCATCATTGACGTCATCATCACTGACGTCACAGCCACTAACGTCACCATCACGGTCAGGATCACTAACACGATCGTACATGACTTGACCATCACTAGCGTGACCATCAATGGCGTGAACATCAATGGCGTGACCATTCATGGCGTGACCACCACTGGCGTGACCATTCATGGCGTGACCATTCATGGCGTGACCATCAAAGGCGTGACCATTCAGAGCGTGACCACCACTGGCGTGACCATCAATGGCGTGACCACCACTGGCGTGACCATTCATGGCGTGACCATCAAAGGCGTGGCCATTCATGGCGTGACCACCATTGGCGTGACCATCAATGGCGTGACCATCAAAGGTGTGACCATTCATGGCGTGACCACCACTGGCGTGACCATTCATGGTGTGACCATTCATGGCGTGACCATTCCTGGCGTGACCACCACTGGCGTGACCATTCATGGTGTGACCATTCATGGCGTGACCATTCATGGCGTGACCACCACTGGCGTGACCATTCATGGTGTGACCATCAAAGGCGTGACCATTCATGGCGTGACCACCACTGGCGTGACCATCAATGGCGTGACCACCACTGGCGTGACCATTCATGGTGTGACCATCAATGGCGTGACTATTCATGGCGTGACCATCAATGGCGTGACCATCAATGGCGTGACCATCAATGGCGTGACCATTCATGGCGTGACCATCAAAGGCGTGACCATCAATGGCGTGACCATCAATGGCGTGACCATTCATGGCGTGACCATCAAAGGCGTGACCATTCATGGCGTGACCATCAATGGCGTGACCATCAATGGCGTGACCACCACTGGCGTGACCATCAATGGCGTGACCATCAATGGCGTGACCATTCATGGCGTGACCATCAATGGCGTGACCATCAATGGCGTGACCATCAATGGCGTGACCATCAATGGCGTGACCATCAATGGCGTGACCATTCTTGGCGTGTCCATCATTTACGTCAATATTTGTGCCGTTACCGTTTCTAACAAGACAATTCATGTGGTGACCATAACTTACGTGACCACCATCATGGGAACGCCCTATAATTGTAAAAAAAGCACAATTTTAATGACATGAGAAATAAAACTTTTGCTTCAACCACTACCAGCTCATATTTTACAGAAAGTCACTGCAAGCCTTGAGTTTACTTGTAATAAAGTAGTGCAAGACTTGAGTCTACTTGTAATAAAGTAGTGCAAGCCTTGAGTCTACTTGTAATAAAGTAGTGCAAGCCTTGAGTCTACTTGTAATAAAGTAGTGCAAGCCTTGAGTCTACTTGTAATAAAGTAGTGCAAGCCTTGAGTCTACTTGTAATAAAGTAGTGCAAGCCTTGAGTCTACTTGTAATAAAGTAGTGCAAGCCTTGAGTCTACTTGTAATAAAAATGCTGATAAAACGAGTGTAACACTATTTGGTTTCCTTGTGTGGCTATTTAATGAGAGCTCACAAATGTGCGTAACTTTAACTTTTACGGTGGAACGGCGAGGCCTAAACGGTTGAGCGCTAGGCTGCTAACCCGAAAATCTCGAGGTCGAAACCGGGTTCAGAGTATTAGTGGTAATTTAATAAAAATTTGTAAGATTAAACTATAATAAATATTTATTTTTCTCAGTAAAAAATTAACGTTTCATTTTGGCGTTACTCCATTGTGTTGTTCAAAGTGTTCCGCACCCCTCTCTAGCCTTGCTACGCCACTGCGTGCTCGTTTTACATAATTACATTTTAAAATTTGATAGGTATTGTACTAACCTTTCATATTTTATGTTTTTATGCAAATGTGATATATGTAATAAAATACAGTATGTTGATACTAGGTAGCGGTGAATTTAACTTCTCTTGCAATTAGTAATTGTTTTAGTTTAGGGTACTCCGAAAATAGCATAAACTTTAAACTGTATGTTGAACGATTTGGTTTTAGCAACGATTACTTGACCATGACTGACGTTAGCCTTTATAATACCACTAATCCTCATCGTGATCTGAATTATAATCCTATTTTTAGCATCAAAATCATTAGAACATTATTTTGATACGAAATAGTATTTCCACATGTAGCAAACAAAAAGATCTACAACACTTTGCTACATTTAATGACGGCGTTAAGGCCTGGAATAAGCCTAACCCAAAGCGTTAACTGTGTTTAAAAGCGAAAAAAAGCACTTACTGTCATTAGGATTCGAACAAAGCCTGAAATGAAGTGGAAGACAGAGGTTGTATTAGCAAGTTTCCAACACTAAACTAAATGTCCCAAAGGACAATCTAGATTCAAACAACCAAAAAGAACTTAAAACTAGTAATCGTATACACAGAGGCCAAATGCTCAGCAACGAACGAAAAGAAACAAAATTGCATAGAAAACTTTTTAATAACAAGCTTTTATGTAATAATGCACTAAAAAGGAGAAAATAAACTATTTTATTTAAATATAGTTCATAACAATATAAATAGTGCGAAATATTTGTTAGACACCATACAAATTTCTGAAAATTTTAATTAATTCATAAAAAATTAATTAGGCATCCAATAAAGTCAAAATTGATGTCAGATTGAATAGTCTTCAAGTCGCGACCCACGTGCCAACTTTAACAAATCTGTCAGTTAGGAATGACCGAAATTCCGTTCGAGCGTTTTGATCTATGACGACAGAATGTCGACAGACAGACAGACATTCGATAGACAGAGGAAGAAAAGCTTGTAATGATAATGTAAGGTGTAGGCTTTGATAAAAACAAATTACTTTACAAAACAAATTAGTACACTATTTTTTATTTGTTAATATACCTATATACCGATCTTATTTTCTGTATTGAAAAATCACCTTTATTCATGGATTTGCAACATAAATGTTATTTATATAGTTTTTATTGTCGTCTTTTTTATAAAACTATTATGTTACCATTACATTTTTTTTATAAAAAACGTTTTAATAACAAACTTTTATGTAATAATGCACTAAAAAGTAAAAAATAATTTATACCCTTCTATTAAATTACTATAAAGAAAAGCGTGGGCCACTTTAGTATCTATTGGATACCTTTACTAATATTTAGGAAGAGACCCACGCTTTTCTTTATAGTAATTTAAATAGTAGTGTATAATATATTTTCTACTTTTTAGTGTATCCTAATATATAAAAGGCCATGTGCGCTCTTCTCTCTCTCTGTCCGCAAAATATTTTCGCCGGACATCACATCAGAATCTTCAGCGATATATCGAGAACTTGATACGGACTTTTGTTGAAAATAATATGTTAGATGTTTTAAATGTATAACCACAATTTTATTTAAAGAAGAAAAATAAAAAATAAAAGCGTATTCGAATGTAGAAAAACAATTTTATTTATGTAACCGGAAAAGTGTTTATACTTGGGACAAGAACGCATTTAACAATGACGTCGCTTATTGTTTACACTAAAAAAAGAGCACGAAACTGATGACGTCATCTTCCGAGTTTAGAATAAAAAGAAATGGAACTATTTCATTCAAATATGATTTAGAGCTATGTACGCTATGAAATGTATACAGTACGATTTTCTCGGCCTAAACTTTAAAAAATTATTTCATCTATCTGGATTCTAGATCTAGAGATTCTAGATCTAGAGATTCTAGATCATCTAGATCTAGAAATTCTAGATCTAGATGAGCTAGATCTACGGAAAAACTAGACTTACACAGATGTAGACCCTACCTAGATCTAGAATCTATTCAAATAATAAATTTCTATACTAAAGTATTTTAGGCCTTAATTACTTTATTGAAATCTTTGTTTATCTATGCAATTTGCTAATCTCTATAATATATAAAGCTAAGTTGTCGGGTGCCCGATAGGCACTTCCCGGCGCCGCAGGCGCTTCAAATTTAGCAGGATCTTGCCTTGGGGCGACAGAACACGGGGGCTGGTTGGCCGAAAAGTCTACGATGAGGGGGTCAAAACTGACCTCGACTGACCGGCGCCTTATATGGGCGAATTAATTAGGCATTCAAATTCTCAATGCTATCGAAAACCTAAGCGAAGCTGGGCAGCATGCCTAGTTATTACATAAAAGCTTGTTATTTAAACGTTTTTTTATGATATTTTTTTAGTACTTTACATGTTTTTATTTACAATAGAGTTACGTGACTAAAAACCATTGCGCGCTTATTAAAGGCGGTGACGCGCTTTTGAGTGTTGAGTAGTTGGATAGAACTGCCTACTAATTTGGTCAAAATTTTAATTAATTCATAAAAAATTAATTAGGCATCCAATAAAGTCAAAATTGATGTCAGATTGAATAGTCTTCAAGTCGCGACCCACGTGCCAACTTTAACAAATCTGTCAGTTAGGAATGACCGAAATTCCGTTCGAGCGTTTTGATCTATGACGACAGAATGTCGACAGACAGACAGACATTCGATAGACAGAGGAAGAAAAGCTTGTAATGATAATGTAAGGTGTAGGCTTTGATAAAAACAAATTACTTTACAAAACAAATTAGTACACTATTTTTTATTTGTTAATATACCTATATACCGATCTTATTTTCTGTATTGAAAAATCACCTTTATTCATGGATTTGCAACATAAATGTTATTTATATAGTTTTTATTGTCGTCTTTTTTATAAAACTATTATGTTACCATTACATTTTTTTTATAAAAAACGTTTTAATAACAAACTTTTATGTAATAATGCACTAAAAAGTAAAAAATAATTTATACCCTTCTATTAAATTACTATAAAGAAAAGCGTGGGCCACTTTAGTATCTATTGGATACCTTTACTAATATTTAGGAAGAGACCCACGCTTTTCTTTATAGTAATTTAAATAGTAGTGTATAATATATTTTCTACTTTTTAGTGTATCCTAATATATAAAAGGCCATGTGCGCTCTTCTCTCTCTCTGTCCGCAAAATATTTTCGCCGGACATCACATCAGAATCTTCAGCGATATATCGAGAACTTGATACGGACTTTTGTTGAAAATAATATGTTAGATGTTTTAAATGTATAACCACAATTTTATTTAAAGAAGAAAAATAAAAAATAAAAGCGTATTCGAATGTAGAAAAACAATTTTATTTATGTAACCGGAAAAGTGTTTATACTTGGGACAAGAACGCATTTAACAATGACGTCGCTTATTGTTTACACTAAAAAAAAGAGCACGAAACTGATGACGTCATCTTCCGAGTTTAGAATAAAAAGAAATGGAACTATTTCATTCAAATATGATTTAGAGCTATGTACGCTATGAAATGTATACAGTACGATTTTCTCGGCCTAAACTTTAAAAAATTATTTCATCTATCTGGATTCTAGATCTAGAGATTCTAGATCTAGAGATTCTAGATCATCTAGATCTAGAAATTCTAGATCTAGATGAGCTAGATCTACGGAAAAACTAGACTTACACAGATGTAGACCCTACCTAGATCTAGAATCTATTCAAATAATAAATTTCTATACTAAAGTATTTTAGGCCTTAATTACTTTATTGAAATCTTTGTTTATCTATGCAATTTGCTAATCTCTATAATATATAAAGCTAAGTTGTCGGGTGCCCGATAGGCACTTCCCGGCGCCGCAGGCGCTTCAAATTTAGCAGGATCTTGCCTTGGGGCGACAGAACACGGGGGCTGGTTGGCCGAAAAGTCTACGATGAGGGGGTCAAAACTGACCTCGACTGACCGGCGCCTTATATGGGCGAATTAATTAGGCATTCAAATTCTCAATGCTATCGAAAACCTAAGCGAAGCTGGGCAGCATGCCTAGTTATTACATAAAAGCTTGTTATTTAAACGTTTTTTTATGATATTTTTTTAGTACTTTACATGTTTTTATTTACAATAGAGTTACGTGACTAAAAACCATTGCGCGCTTATTAAAGGCGGTGACGCGCTTTTGAGTGTTGAGTAGTTGGATAGAACTGCCTACTAATTTGGTCAAAATTTTAATTAATTCATAAAAAATTAATTAGGCATCCAATAAAGTCAAAATTGATGTCAGATTGAATAGTCTTC